AAGTTTAAAATATAATTTATATATTTAAAAATATTTATTTATACAAATTTAAATATAAAAGTATACTCAAACATAATATTTATTTTAATATATAATTTATTATAAATTTTAATTTTATATAATACATATTTTATCTGTTGATTGTGCAAGTTAAAATACTTGTTAATTATTATCTTGATATTTTCTTTTATCGTAATAAAACATAAAATAAAAATGAAAAATAGTTTCATATGCGATAGTTTACAAGAATTTTAATTAATTATTATAATTTCATACATTGACCTTCCCAGTCTATATTTGCAAACGACACGACGCCGTTTTACCCTTCTCTCTCTGGAGTCTTGACCAATTCAAATAGCGACTCCCGCGTAAGCTACCACCCCTCTTCAACTTCAACCCACACTGGAGATCCATATTGTTGCAGACAACAGAAAATGGAACTTCACCTTCACCACTTCAATCACAACCTCCCAAATCCCAACTTCACAGGGAAACCCTAAGCCCAACCCCTTTCCCCTTCCAACCCAAACCCTAACTCTCCCAACATGTCCTCGCCGCTAACCTACCCCGTGGTGCTCGACGACAAGGACCTCGACGACGCCGCATTGTGGGCCATGATCGACTCCGCCACCGCCTCCGCCTCCGCCTCGCGCTCCTCCTCCAAGTGCAAGGTCCTCGCCGCCGTCAAGTTCCCCAATCGCCAGCCGCCTTCCCCGATCCCCAACCCCTCGCTGCCGCCGCCGCCCAAGTTCCGGAAAACGCTCCGGGACTCCGGCGACAGCGGCGAGGTGGTGTACGACCCGTGGCCCTACCGCCCGCCGCGGAAGGCCGCGAGGACGTGTCCTTCCGAGGAGAGCAGCTCGCTCGCGCTGGTCAGAAGCGCGCAGAGGACTCCGCCGGCGAAGGGATTCTCGTCGCCGGAAGCGCAGGAGATGAGCTGTTACACGGAGGTCTCGGGGCGGTGCTTCGGGAGGAACGAGGAGGAGAAGGAGGACGGCGCGAGGCATAGCTTGTTTGGAATGTTTCCTTCGGTTTCGTTGTTTAAGGAGTACCAGAATGCTGCTATGGCGGTTGGTTTTCTCTTTCCTTTGTTTCAGTGTTCTGATTTAAACTTAGATGCTGTTAAGGGTGGGAAAATTTAACTACACTGCGATCAAACTGTTAGAAATTGCGCTGAACTGAAAAGTAGCTTGCCTAAACTGAAGTTAATTGGAAATCAGTTCAGGCGAACGGAACTTGTTATACCTTGTTATAACTCATACACTTTCCATGTTGGTTTGTAATCTGCATTGGTGTTTTACCTTGTTAATTGTTATAAATGTTTGCATTGAAGATCAGAAGTGAAACTTTAATTCTGGCTAGATAGCCACAACCAAAAAAGAAAGAAGCAATTGTATCTAGGTTTTGTCTAAGTTCATTTATTTGTTTGTGTATTTAGGGCATGTTGGGATAAACTTCCGAATAAGCACTTTCATGAGAAAAAAATAAGAATGAAAAATGAAATAAGGTTTTTCATAAGCTAAAGTTAGCTTATGCTTAAATTTAAACGAGTTTTAAAGAAGCTAATATGAGAGACCTTATGCAAATTAGCTTATCCATAGGATAATTTTAGCTTATGAAAAAAATTATTTCATTTTTCCTTCCAATTATTTTCTCATAAAAATGCTCAAGAAGAAGTTTATCTAAATAGATTCTCTCTTACATGAATGGCGAAAGAAAGATTTGAACCATGAACAATGATTTGGTGCTTGAGGGAAATGGAATGAATGATATGTTCATAGTAAACATTCATTCAATTATGGATAACTATGGAATTCAAAATTATTAATATTTGATTTTTGTAATAAGTGCTTTAAAATCAATACTTCATAGTTTAAATATCTATACAATGATAGTATGAGTTTGTTCGGATACAAACTAAGTAAGTGTTTTTGAAAGCTTTTCTGTTGAATGAAACTTTTTTATTTTCAGTAAAGAATTCTCAATCTTGAAAGCTCTTCTAAGCTTGTAACAAACATACTCTATCAAATTCAAACTTTTGTAATTTGTTTTAGAATTAGTGGGGAATGGAACAGAACTTAATAGAATTTATTTTACTTGATTCATCTATTTTTTTCCTCCTAATTTGGATTATGAGATGATACTAATTTGGTGTTTGTGAATATCTTAAACAAATTGTTTACATGCTAAAAGATAGCATGACTATTTCAATCATAAAATATTTAAATAATGAAGCAATCATTTTATTTCATTCCTTTCAATTCAATGTCATACCGTTTCATCCCATTCAATTTGATTCCATTCCATTTCATCCTTCCTTAGCTATTCAATAGTCGACCGTGGGAATATGTAGTGATAAACACGTAAAGAAACATCATATGGTGTGTGAAGTAGACAGTAGAATAGCAATGTTTGTTGAGTTCCATTGCATAAGTTGTTGTTATTTTATTTATTTATTTGATTGATATTGATTGTCTTTTTGGGTTAAATGATGGAAAATACGGTTTGTCGTGTTCATTTTATCAGATCTCACTTAGTACCGTGTCAAAGTTATAACTGATAGGTAGAGGTTTAGGGCAAATTCTAAATCCTCTTATAAAATTTTCTTATTAGTTCAATTACTAATTAAATAAAGAAAGTACTAAATACTATTTTATATTTTAAAATTGTAATGTATTTACATTTTCATTAATAATCTTGTCATAAAACATTAATACGATTAGTAGGAGATACTACAAAGGGACATAACATGGCTCACAGTAAAGCTTGGACATGTCTTGGCCTCTGTATTTCTTACCAAGCTAGGAATAAACCATTAAATGAGCAGATGCTCTAAATTTGGTTTGTTCATTTAAATTTAACATTTAATAATACACAAATTTCCTAAATCAAAGGATAACATGAGGCATTTACTTTAAGTCTCCTGTAGTATCATTGTTTCAGTAATATCAGTGTGCCTGCGGTTACGGCAGAGTAGCGATTTTCAGCTTTAACATATTTTTTAACTTACAGTATGCTGTGTATGATGGAAATCTTCTATCTTTTATTTGTATTTAACTGAATTTACTTATCTGAAATGTGTATATCTTTTTAATATTTTGAGCTTTTCACTAGATTAGCTTTTGGTGAATGTGAATTTTGAATCTTAAAACTGAGAAACATTTTTGAGGACGACTTAATGACTTAGTGTACAATGCGAACTTTGAATCTGAAAACAAAGAAAATTTTTCATTTACTTTCTGTCTTTTGTCTGCCAAGAAGCTTGATGTTTGATTCCTATGTCCCACATTTTTCATTTTTAAAACCCTGTGGTTATCCTGAACAAATCATTCCATGATATTAGCCACTTTCTTTATTTGGATTTCCTAGTCCTAGCTTCTCAGAAACATGTTTTCTTGACTTCCATGATTCATTGGGGGCGTCTGGTTAAATTCAAGGTTAATTTGTGATATTCTTTTAATTGCTTTTATTTTTTAATTAGTACTTGTTAACAGATGGTCCAAGTTTGTGTTTTTGCATTTAATGGCTGTAATACACTTCAACCTGTGCTTGCCATAATTTTTTTTTTTTCTTTTTTGCATATAATAACACAGAATATCTCCATTTTCCACAGTAATTTATGCAAATATATGAAAATATGAGAGTTGTCTGAGATGCTGTTATTATTATTTTCACTCAGGAAGAATTCACCTAATCAATCCTTTGTGTTATGTCTTCAATGTTCAGATTTTGGAGAAAACTGATTACACTTTGATTTCGGGGAATCCTTACATTAAGAAGTCAGGTAAGCATAGTTTGTCTTCTCTTAAATGTGAAAATTGTACATCTGATGTAACATGGCAGACGCGTGTTTTTTATAGGTTGGAGAAAGATTTCTTGTTACTTCAATATTTCTTATGAAATCAGAGACAAGAATATTGAGTTTGATGAGAATCGCAATGTTCAGCGTGCTGAGTTTGTGATTCGTGCATGCATGCAGTATGTGTCATGTTTGGTTGCTTCAATTAATATGGCTTCTAATGATCTCTATTATTCACACTTCAATCACCGCTGATTCTGTTGATTTGCAATACATCAGGGGTGGCAGGTTCTCAGATGGATGGGGTTCTTGTGATCGACGTGAAAAGAGATTTCAGAAACCAAATCATGATATTCCAAGCACCGCAGAGACTAGGGGAAAAAATAAAGCTTGTCAAGTACGTCATCTTTATCATATATTTTTCCTGAATTATATTTTCAGTCATTTGGTGTGAATTTAGCTGTTTATGTGGAGACTAGAGGTTTTATTCAAATGAGATTTCCATAAAAGACTTTTAGCGGAACTGCGGAAGCTTAATCAATCTTCACACTTATTGCTATCTGCTGAAATGGTCCATGTCAATCTTGGAATGGCACATCTATGTAGAATCACTATTGATGCGTACTTAAAAGATGGTTCTTTTCTCTAGCGGTTTTTTATGTTTTAGGGAACGGGCAAGTAACACAACATAGGGATTCATGATCTTTAGTTTGCGAATGTTGACGTTTTTCTCGGTGCCATGCTTAGAAACTATGGGCCATTGCCAAAAGAAAGATTTACAAGAAGGATAAGAGAGAAGAATGGGAGAACTAACAAAACTTGAAGAGAAAATAGTGAGGTAGAAGTTCTGTGAAATAAATAGAAAACAAATAAACAGTTATCTAACTTTAGAAGAACCACTAAGGTTAGCTCGGAGGTTGAAATACTATATGTAGAGTTCTAGGTTTGAATCTGTCATTGTAATTTATATGGATAAAAAAAAGTTAATCTAACTTCGGAAATGGTCAATAAAAGCTAACAATAATGAAATTATCCATGATTTTACCTCCACCTACTAAGGGCTTCTTCCGCAAATATGTCTTGCTAATTAATGTTGTTCACTTCTTAAAACTCTCTGGCTTCTTTTCATAACATATTTCTTTGCCTTATGTTAAATTTAAATAGGGTTAATTGTGTTTTTAATCCTCATTTTTTTTTATCAATTTTTATTTTAGTCCTTCAAAAAATATTTGACTAGTTTTAGTTCCTAAAAAGTTATTCTGCTCTGCTATATATTTTTGGTACATGAAAGTTTAGGTGAGTTGGGTCTATTGTTTACCAAGGTTTTCATATTGGTAGGAATGTCTTTTTGAGATATGAGCTCATTTCTTATAATTGGACTAACCTTTTGTTGGCTTCTGCTTTGCTATTAGTCCCTTATTTTTTTTTTTTAATTATGTTTTTAGTTCCTCAAAATATTTGACTGGTTTAAGTCCTCCAAAATATTTTCTGATAGTTCTCTAGGGATCGATGGTTCAAAATAAAAACTTATATGCCATCCTACTGATAATTTTATATGATAAAAAAACCCTTATAGTTTTATCATGTTGCTAATTTTACAGGACTTGCTAGGAATTGGAGAATTCCGACCTGGTGCAACTAGTGAATTTCATTGTTATAAATGAGTTTTGTAACGATTTAACTTGCCCTAGTATTTGTTTTGTGGGACAAAATGAAAACAGAAGTTTTTATTTTTTTAAATGTGTATCTTATTGATGAGTAATTGTAAATTCCGATGTTGTCATATATTTGGTGCTCAAGGCATTCAAGATTTCATTGTGCAAGAAGCTAATTGAGTAACATACTATTCAGCATGAGTAGCGAGTTATAAAATTTAATGAATTTAAAACTTAATCTATGTGCTTGATGGTGAATTGAAGTGAAGGTATACAGGGAAAATATTTAAAAATAAAAATATCTTATAGAACTAAGTTTTAATTAACCTAAATTAATTTTGAGGATCTTTTCACCATTAGTTATTCAACTTTAAGCTAACAGAATGAACTTTTGGGCCTACCGAAACCATACTTTTAGTCAAAGGGTTAAGGTAAATTTGAGCAAATAGCTCAATTAAATAATTTTTAAATAATATCTATCATGCAAGTCTTTATATATAAATTGTTCATATAATTGAAGAAAAAATATTGTTAAATTGTTTTTATAGAAGTTATAGTGTCTTTGTAAGTTATTATGGAGAACTTGTTGAAATATGCTAAAACCAATTAATGGATGGATCATATGTTATTTTATCATGTTTCCCTAAACATCTATCTTATATTTTTTTTTAGAGTTAATCACCTATATACTATCATAAAGTTTTTTTACACTGATAACTAATTATATATTTTAGTAGTGTCATGTCAGTTGCTTATTTAATGAAATAAAAATAAAATAAAATAATTTAAAAGATATGATTGGTTCTTAGTATAATTTTTTTATATACTGACAGTGTATAAGTGATTAACTCATTTTTTTAATCCTATTATATATATATATATATATATATGAGGAAGGCTTAAATCACACCATTTCGAATTACCTTGTCTGTGAGAATTTCCAATGACTATGTAACCGTCGTTATGATTTGCGCTTTTAACTGCCACAATTCTCTTTATATAGTCTTGATGATGGTCAATTAATATATCATAACTTGACGTTGTTGAATTAATATTGATTCCGTTATGCTTGAAGTTATTTTGATAGTAGTATTTTAGCATGTTGAGGTTAAATGTATATTATGTATAATAATTAAATTTAAAAAATAAATTATTATGTTTATAAATAAATATTATCTTAGAATATATAAGTTATATTTAAAATTTGAAGAAATAGATAATTTTAAATTTATGATAAATAATTTATATTGTAGTATATAATTATTTTTTTATTGATAATTTATTTTAAAATATTAAAATTTAATTTGTAAATAATAAAAAAACTAAATTAAATATGAAGTTTGAAAATTTTCTAAAAAAATTTTTCATTAAAGAAAAATTCTTAAAAACGTTCTTATACAATATATTTGTTCGCATTTTATATAAATAGATTGATTATTAATGTCTTGCCATACTTCCTATGCTCACTATTACAAGGAAAAAATAATGATTTCACAATATTAAGGAAGACTTAAAAATATTTTTAATCCATCAAATTTAGAGTAAATTTATTTTTTTATTTTTCAAATTTAAAACTACTTTTTTTTTTATTTCTATAATTTTAAGATATTTTATTTTATTTTCTCAAGTCACCAATAACTTATGTAGTATCAACTATATTTAATATTATGTTTTTACTAACAAAGATATTAGTAGGTTAATTTTGTGTAATAATATTTGACAAATTTAAAAAAAAAATTAGTGTAAGGACTAACACAATAATTTTTGAAATTACATGGATTAAAAAAATTAGTTTTAAATTTGAGGGACTAAAAGTAAAGTTACCTTAAATTTCTGGGACTAAAAAAATTTAAGTCTATTAAGGAAATTAGTTGTCACTGTTAAATTTTACTATTTTTATAAGAGGAGAGATCATTTTACTCTAGGAGTAAGTCTACCTAGACTTACTTCGTTCAATAACTCATGTTCTACATCAAATTTTAACGATCAAACCGTTCAATTTAAAGTTCTTAATACATAGATCAAATCTACAAATTTTTAGAAAATTTGAAAATCATTTGATACTTCGTTTCATTAATTCAAATCAATGTATAAAATGATTTTATGATTATCTGTCAACATTCTCAATAGTCCTTGATAAAAATGCAACAAAAAAAAAATTCTATTTATACATTTTTTCCTCTAAAGTAACTCTTATACTATTTTTTCCCCAATTAATACTCATATAGTTTCTAACTAATTAGAGTACATGTCTAATATAATTTATCTTTCCTAATTAATACTCATCTTTCTCCTAACTAATTAGAGCACATATTTGCAAACTGTTTATAATTAATGCATTTGACAAAATTAAGAGAATACATTTTAATTAACTAGGAATATTTAGTCTAAAAATAATTAATATATGAAACAATATGAATTGTTCTAAGTTGAGTCTTATAAATACAAATAGAGGTAGTACTATATTCATCCCATAATAAGTGTTGTGATTATAAAAAAAAGTTCTAAAACAAGTTTGTGTCATGTTAGTTTTTCAATATAATATTAATTACTTTTTTTTCACTTATATCTCTTATAATATTCTTTAAAAGTGGTTATTGTGTTACATTATTTATAGTAAAGAAGGTTAATCATAAGATTAATTTTGTAAAATCACTATTCTCTCTATTCCATTTTGTTTGACATGTAGGGACGTTTGGTTGGGGAGAAGTTTTTTTATACTTAGAAATCATGATTCCTAGGAATTACAAATCTTGGGAATTATAATTTCTAGAAATAACTAAAATTTATTTGGTCATTCATAAATGTTCTAAAAAATATTCATACAAGATTCTCGAAAATTAAAGACTTTTATGTTTAGTTACAATAATATATTCTTAGGTATATAAATATTTTTTACAAAAATATCATTTGTTAAAATAAGCTCGTTAGACTATTTATTGACTTAAATCTTATTACAAATATGATATTAAACAATTTTAGAAAGTTGATAATTTATAGTTAAAATTATTTAAATACAAAATTCAACAAAAGAAATAGGCAAAGAAAAATGTTACCTAATAATTAAGAAGGATAAAAATATATTATTTCATTTTGTGGAGAAAAAGAGACACTAGAGAGGAGGAAGGTTTAATAGTATCAATAAAAACCTACACACTTTTTTCAAATAGTGAAGTAGTTATAAAATGTAACGAGTGCAGAGAAAAGTTAAGAGAAAAGTTAAGAGAGAAGAACTCACAATATTTTATACTAGTTCAACCACCAAGATTACGTTCAATTTTTTATTAACCCAATCAAGTTCGACTATCTTTTACAAAAAAAATACAAGTATTCTTTCATAAGACACTTTTTACTCAACTTAAGTGTTCTTTGACTTGTCTCTTCAAGAAACTACCCAACTATTCTTTGAACACAAAGTTTCTCCAAACTTCAATAATAAAGTATTCTTTTACAGTTAAGTCTCTTTAGGCTCAAAGTAATAATACAAAGTTAAGGTTGAGAAATCACTTTATTGTTTCGTCTTACTATCAAGATGTGATACAACCAAATTAAGTACATAACTTTCACAAAAAGAATGAGTATAAAATTTTTTCAATCGATAATCTTTTTTCTTTTTCTGAATATTCAAGTTTTTTTATAGGCGCTTCATGAAGATGACCATTGCAAACCCTTGAGTGTCTCTCACAAGCTTGTTTCATTTGTCTTCATCTTTGTTCTTAGTAGAGAGAAGTGTCCATTGGTGCATTAAATGTGTCTTGCTAAATTGTCACTTGTTATCTAATTAATAAAGTTACTTACCACCTTTAAGGTACTAAATGGAAGGAATTGTTGCTTGTGTTAATCAAAAGTGACTGTTTTTGAGACTTCACATGCTTCAAAGAATTTGCTTATACTTTTTGGGATGCAAAGCATGTATGTTGTAACATTCTCTACCTCGCATGCGTGTAAAATTAATAATTTGTAACAAGGATATAAAAATCTCCAAATAACTTGCATAATAATCAGAATGAAATTTCTTACAAGAGGCAAAGAGTCTCACATAACAAACACTTAAATAAACTCCATACTAAGGTGAAAATGTAAACTAAACATAACCTTATCATAAGAATTAATAAAGAATATCCCTAGTCTAAGCCTTGATATCACATGTCCTATTAGAGCACTCCCAAGACAAGGATCATGCCTCATCACTAGTACAATCAAGATCCTAACGAGCCTCACTTGCAAAAACATTCATAATAGCAAGACATGGAAACAAGGGGAGTGAAAAAACTTCTCACTCTAGCTCATGGCATGAAATAAGAGATGAATACTCGAACACACTCCATACATTATTTATACCATAGCATGATATTAAAACATATTAATCACTATCAAACCCAATAACTCATAATTATCACTATCAAACACAATTACTCATTCATAATGCATCAATCATAAATCTCCAGATTCAAATCAGTCACATGCGTGTATGAAATTCAATGGACACAAAATCTCGATTTGCATGCATATGGTACCAATTTCAAGATATGCACAATGTATATTAAAATATTTGTCAATTTGCATGCATATGATGCATGTCACATAGACTGTATCATATCATGAATCACTACACACACTTACTGATTTTCCACCCATACAATTTGTCATACAAGACTCAAGTATCTCATTCAATCAATATATATATATATATATATATATATATGAGGAGGAATCAAATTA